AAAAAAAAAAAATCTTTTCTGGTAATTTTTAATCTGTCTTAGAGGAAAAGGGTTGCTGCTGTGAATGCTCTTTTCAGAGGCATAGAAAACAATTGAAGGACATAGGGTCCTAGCAGGAATCAGAGGACAAGCAAAGGACATCTTTCTGCAGATTGTGATCTGTTGCCTCCTATTCAAAAGGAAAATGTATTAAAACTTGAGTAGCATTATGGATCAGGCAAAATATCCAGTTGCATCTCATGTAGTCATGGAGACCCAGATCTATAAAAATATCTGGGTGTCTAATTCCTAAATCAATAGCAGCTAGGTAAATACAGAGGAATTACAGGGCTAAGGGTCTCTGTCAGTCCGGGCCCCAGTACTCAATACAATGGAATGCATTGCATTACCTGAAGGCTGCTCATCTTGCAATAAAATGGCTGACTAACTTGTTCCGTGCATGCAGCTATCAGCAACGTGCATTAACAGTGGAAGTAGTTTGACCGGTTTTTATTTTTCCCCTTTATTTTTGATCAAGAACCAGAGAAAGGTGATAAAGTAGTTATGGCATCCCATATCAGCTCCACAGGTATAAGTGTGAGCACCATTCTATTGGCTGCACCCATTAGTCCTAGGTATAAATGGGTACCTACATAGGAATATTCAGGATTTTTAAAGAAGTAGTGAGGGAGCAGTGATTAGAGAAGCAAGGTTGGCTTTCATTCCCTGCTCCCAGCCCTCTTTCACAGCCCCCTATCATGTCCTCAGAGTAGGTAAGCATTCCCTTCCCTCCACCCCAACTCCTGGCACCCTTTCCCTTCCACCTCTATGCTCAGAGGTATGTCCCCTTTCCTTCCTTCTCATTCACCCCTCTACCCTCAATACTTATGCTTTTGGGCACAGAAAGACCCTCCTACCACCACTGCTGTCCTGACCATCCCTTTCCTGCTCCAACCAGGGCTACTGGGGACTACTGCATGGAAAGCTGGGCTCAGCTAGGGAGAGCTGCATCAGGTGAGCTCCCCGTCCCTACCCTGCTCCTGGGCTAGCAGGGAACACCCAGGGAGACCAGGCTGGGTGGGGGAACCCACACCCTGCTGCTGCTCTCCTCAGCTAAGCCTGGCTACCCATGCCTGGCTGGAGCAGGGCAGGGGCAGCTCTGCAGGTGGGAAACAGGAGAAATAGTAAGGGCGGGAGGGGAGGTGATAGTGAGGGGGAGTGACAGTGAGGGGGAAAAGAGAGGGTGCTGACAGCAGGGTAGGAGACAGATTCTTACCTCCTTTGGGAACTTAAAGTCTCAAGCTCCTGCATTGTGGTTCATAAAGGGATGTGACCACAGCATCCACTCTGGATCTACTCCTGAGTACCTGGTCATTCAAACCAGGGAGTGAAATGTGGTCAGATGCAACAAATCACATTACTTCTTGGTATGTCATGGGCTGCAGTAACTGCCATATCTTGACCACATAGGCCTGCCACTTCCATTGGAATAACTTTTTTTGTTGACTTATGATTAATGATATTGTTATCATAGGCTGTACTTGTCCATATATAATTTTGTTACCTGCTAAGAGAAAGGACTCAAAAATCTAAATGGTTTTCCATCACTAATTAAATTAACTGCATTTTAATGTGCGGTTTTGATAGTTGGGACCAGCTATCTAAACTTAATGAAATGCACTGTGTGGTTAGCAGGTCAGCAGAAGCCCCTGGGACAATTTGAGACACAGAAAACCTTAGCAATTGTTCAGAATGGGCATTTTAAATTATAGCCTAGGAGGTGTTGAGTAGCTCTGACTTGTGACTTTGTGACAGAAGAGGAAGTCATTTTGAAATGAGACAGAAAACGGTAATAAAACAGAAGCAGCAACCAAACATACACAACACTGACATTTGGAAGTGACAGAGCACACAACATAGAACTGAGCTAAACTTCTGCTGCCCATAGTCCAGCTAAGGCCTAATCCATACTCCCTTTCTGAAGTACAATCATTGTTTCTAGAAGCATGTTACAGAGATTTAGAGGATATGAGATGAGCACGCAGTTTGTGACTAGAAAGAAGACAGATAGAGGCAGGTGTTCCAGAGACTGGAATATTTTTATTGTCACACACTTACCAAGGACTGTGTGAATCGAGGGTGGTGGTAGGTGTGTTTCATCCCAACTCTCTACTGCAGACAGATGAGTTGGTGTAAAAGGATGGGAAAACAAAACAACTGTGTGCAAACATCCCTCTGACAGCATTCCTCCCAATCCTGGACCCAACCTGTTTGAGATATCTGGCCTACTGCACTGTACTGCCCTAAGCACACTTATTTCTATCCCCCATGCCAATTAACTTACAGCCACAGGTAGCTATGTGTACTTAACAGAAAAGAGAAAGAACTTGACAATAACAAGAAATGACAAAAATAATATTGCAATGTGTATATTCGTAAATGCAGGCATTTTCTATATCCTAGATATGAATTCTGGGAGCTACATTTCCATGTCAGGATCCTCAGTAAGAAATTAACATTAAAAATAAGCAATAAAGATTCAAGAAGAGTAGAGTAAAGTTCTTACTCACCCACTGGAGACATTTCTGGGACACTGGCAACATAGGGTCCATCCAGGAACTTTGGCTCATTATCATTAATGTCCTGCACTTTGATGATGAACTCTGATTCAGGCTCCAGTGGTTTCTTGGTATCTATATCCACGGCCTGAGCACGGAGTGTGTAGAAAGGCTTTTCTTCTCGATCAAGGCTCCTTATGGCATGTATATCCCCTGTGGTCTCATCAATAGTAAAAACTGTGCCAGCTCCATCTCCTGAGAGGGTGTATTTAACAGTGCCCACTCCCTTGTCCAAGTCAGAATGAAGCTGTAGAACAGAAAAAAGAAGGAAGGTATGATGAGGGAGTCTCATTAATGATTTGTTCCTGCCTGAAAGGCAGCCACATATTTTTGTTCCCTCCTTCATACAACACTGGTCGTCCAAGTACCTTGGGAAAAGGTGTCATAACCTCTTAATTATTGGTAAGGATAAGAGGAAACAACTGGCAATGCATCAGTGAATATTTTTTATTAGTTAATAATATCTACATAGGAAGCATTTTAAAATTCTCATTGATTGGACTCCTATAAACTGCTCATTAGAAAAACTAAAACCTTAGCAGGTTTTGGGTTTTGTTAAAAATGTAAAGCTACAACTAAAGTTGTCAAAAAGTGTATTATCGCTTTTAGCAAACCTAGCCTTAACTTTTTGCAAGTATCAGTTGATTTGTGAACATATGTAAAAAACATGAGAGAGATATTTGGCTGTCTGAGTTTTGCTTTCTGATCATGGGCTTGTTTACACCCTAAGCTCAAAGCCCAATTTAGTGTGCAACTTTGTATGAATTCAGTGCATTATACTTTGGTTCTAAGTAATACTGGAAGTCATCATTAGATGTGATAGTGAGAGTCAGACTGTCCCTTTCCACTTCCACTTTGCTACCCCATTGGCTTCAATGTACAAACACCAAGTATTTCTCAATCTCTTTTTCTGTGCATGTTATTATACTCCTTATTATAATCCTAGCAGGATGTTGGGGAAATAACTATAGTTACGGATTCAAACTTTCTTGTACACATCTATCAGTCCACTGGAACAATAATGGTTTATTTTCACATTAGAAAAAACAAGGAAGCTTTACAGGACAGAAAAACTTTGCTTTGGTCAGTTGTTGGAACTGTGTCTTAACAGTAAAAGGGTCTTAATCCCAGTTTGTGGGATCCCTTCTCCAGATGCTTTTAACTGTGTTAGACTCATGCTGTTGTTCCAGCTAAAAAACTTTAATGGATGTTGAAAGTTACATCAAAGTGGTATCAACTCCCTGGTTTTTCATAGGCTAAAAACAAATATACCTTTTCAGAGTCTGAGACCATTATTCAAATAATACTTTGTGCTTTTTCCAGCTAAAACCAAATACACAGACATTTTGTGCTGGATAAATGTTGAAAACAAGCTTTCAAGGTGCGCCAAAGTGAACTCCTTTAAACAATACAATCAGGGGCTTATGGATATGGGCTTTATTTACACGATGTAGTGTTCAAGGTAAAACTCAGTAAAAGAAACGCAGGACATGAAAGTAGATTAAACAGAAAATGCATTACTAAAAACTAGCTAAACAGTTCTAGAAATGGGTAAGAAGCTCAGTTGCAAAGGAAGAGGTAAAGACACGTAATAACATTTATAGCCTGTTCTCTTAAAATTAAATCTAGGACCTTGTGACTAAAAAGGAGGTCATGGTTTGTGGGATAGAGAGGGAGTGTGTGTATGTGGTAGACATGCATGCACACTTGTATGTACTACCCTCCTTTCATGTTTTCAACCCAACCCTTCTTGTCTGAGCTAACAGGTGACTGAGCCACCATTAAAGCTGCCCCACAGATGGATTTTTAAATGACCTCATCATCAGTTGAGCAGAGGTTTTCATCCTCATTGGGCACTGGGTGCATTGTGAATAGATTAAAAGGCAGTTTACCCAGGCTCCTCTGAGAGTCAAGCATCCCCTTTCTTTGTGGAATGAAACGATAATGGCTTCAACCTTGACATAATTAATGCTTCTCTTCCTCATCCTTTAATATATGTGGCTCACATGCACCCTGCTGAGCCATTATACCCTGGTCAGTTAAAACTAATATTTTCCTTCTACTTTGCAAGTTTAAAGTTACCAAAAAATAAACAAACAAAAATAACACAGAAATCCCCCAAACAAGTTTTAAAATCATAGAATCAATGAGTTGGAAGGGACCTAGACAGATCATCTAATCCGACCCCCTGCCATGGGCAGGAAGGAGCACTGGCGGTGGCAGGGGTCATAAGACCCCAGCCAGGTGCCTATCCAGTCTCCTGTTGAAGATTTCCAGGGAAGGTGAGAGCACCACCTCTCTGGGAAGCCTATTCCAGGCTCTGGCCACCCTTACAGTGAAGTAGTTCTTCCTAATATCTAACCTAAACCTATCCTCCCTCAGCTTGTGGCCATTGTTCCTGGTGACTCCAAGGGGGGCCCTGGTGAACAGACTTTCCCCGAGTCCCTGCTGGTGGCCCCTGATAAGGTTGTAGGCAGCCACAAGATCCCCCCTCAGTCTCCTCTTGCGGAGACTGAAGAGATTCAGGTCCCTCAGCCTCTCCTCATAGGGCTGGCCACGGAGGCCCTCAACCATACGAGTGGCCCTCCTCTGGACCCTCTCCAGGTTCTCCACGTCCTTCTTGAAGTGCGGCGCCCAGAACTGGACACAGTACTCCAGCTGCGGCCTGACCAGCGCCGCATAGAGGGGGAGCAAGACCTCTCTGGACCTGTTAGTGATGCCCCTGTTGATGCATGACAGGGTGCGGTTGGCTCTGCCTATTGCTTCGTCGCATTGGCGACTCATATTCATCCTGGAGTCAATCCTGACTCCAAGATCCCTCTCTGCCTCTGTGCTGCTGAGAGGGTCAGCCCCTAACCTATAACCATAATGCTGGTTCCCTCTCCCCAGGTGCCACACCCTGCACTTGTCCTTGTTGAACCACATCCTGTTCAGATCCGCCCACTTCTCTAACCTATCCAGGTCTGCCTGGATGCGGTCCCTGCCTGCCGGTGTATTCACTTTACCCCACAGCTTGGTATCATCAGTGAACTTGAACAGGGTGCTCTCCACACCCTCATCCAGGTTGCTAATGAAGATGTTGAACAGCACCAGCCCAAGGACCGAGCCCTGGAGTACTCCGCTGCCCACACCCTCCCAGGTCGACATCAACCTCTTAATGTATAAAAAAACCTCTTAATGCATAAAAATCTTAGAACTATGGATAAATATGTTCTGAAAGATGTATCAATTAAATGAACAGCATGTGTTTCAGTTTTACTAGGTGATTTAGCCTCTTCTGTTATCCTAGTAACTTTGATTACCAAAGGCCATGTCAGGGTGTTGTTACGTTAATTATGTGTTAAGGATTCTTAAAACATGATTGCCCACTTATTAGGACAGGAAAACATGAGCTAAGAGCCCTCTGAGTCGCTAATTCAGGCCAGAAGGGCAGGATGGTCTGATCTTTGAAGGCAGACTTGCAGGGGAAGAGGGTTGCAGATTGTCCAAGCCAGTGTGGGGCAGTGGGGCCAATACTGGGGGAGCTAATGATCCTGGGTGGCAATGAGAGCTGGCAGGTTCACTATCTGGAATGCCTACACCACCCCAGACAGCAAGCAAGCGGGGGAGCTGTAACAGGGGGCCTTCTCAAGGCCAATTTAACCGTGTCCGGCCCACCTGTTTCTGGGCTAACCACCTGCATTCTCGCCTGCCATGCCTTGTTGGTAATTAATTAATAGATGTTAATAAGCGGGAGGCTGTCCATTTCCTGTCCCGATGCCAGGGAGCACTATCTGTAGCTCCATTCCTCCCCTACACTGCAGCCCAAGCCTTGCAGATGGCATCTTGATATTATCACCATCACCAACCCCCCACACTGGGCCCTAGAATCCTCTTGATTGAAACCGGCCTGGATTTCTATCCTCAGGTGGTCTCATCCGCCTTCATACTAGGCAGCATAGCTCACTGAACCGTTTCCCCTTTGGGTGTGGTCCCCCTGAGACCTTCAGCTCACTAGCTCTGGCCCACCTTCAGGCCAGCCAGAACCCCAGGCCCTCAGCTCTTGGGTGTTCCTCACAGTGAACCCCTGGCCCTTCCGGTCCTGGCCCCAGCATGGACCAGTTAGGGGAAGTTCAGACAGGTGTGAGTCTATGGCCCCTTCTCTCTCTCCAGGGGTCCACCCTCCAGGCACTCCAAACAAAAGGTAACCCAGCCGGTTGTGAGGGCTAGGGGTTAAGGCACCCCGACCCGCCTTTCACCGGGGTGGTAACTGGCCTGGCATTTCCTGGGGGCTCCCACACCACAGAGCCCCACCAGGCCACCCACTCCCAGCAGGGTGCAGTTTAAGGTTGTACACAGGACCAGGAGCCTCCTTCCCATCCCCTACAGCTCCTCCCTTACCTCCAGATGATACCAGCAGCCCTCCGGCCAGGCAATGTTGTTGCCTGGCCTCCAGCAGCAGAACTGCTCTGTTTATATGGGCAGCCCCAGATTCAAAATGGCTGCCCTCATCAGGCACCTGGCAGCTGCCAGCTCCAGGCCCTTAAAGTGGCAGGCACAAACAGTGCCCTGCCACAGGAGCCAACCTGGGTCCTAGCCATGCCCCTAAGGTAGGGGTGGACAAAATACAGTGCATGGGCTAGATTTGGCTGGCCAGGCCATTCTATCCAGCCCATGGGTCCCCTACAAATTTAGAAAAGAAGTATTTATCTGCCCTTGGCTACTTGTCAAAGATGACAGGAACCAGGGGCAGTAAGATCCAAGTGAAGTCACAGCAGGACCCTAAACAGCAAGGCTTGCCTGGGTCCATCCCCCCACCTGAAAGTCTGTCTAGCAGAGGCTTCTGGCCTGCAACCATGGGGCTGTTTGTGCCTCCCTGCACCAGAGCAGGAAATACATGTAAGAGGAGGGAGCTGGGGGTGGGGAGGCAGGGGACAACGAGTGATCACTCCAGTTCTCGGGGCCAGGCTGGCTGCTGCTGCGGTCTGGCCATGTGGTGAGGAGCCACATGGTGCAGAGCAGCTGGGCAGGAATGTGGGGAAAGCAGCAGTGAGGGCAGAGAAGTAATGGAAGTGAGCAGGCGTGGGGGAGCACCAGGCCTGCTCTGGTGCCCTGGGGCCAGCACCAGTGGGACCCAGACCAGGGTGGCAAGAGTGCAGGGTGTGGGCTAGCAGGGTGTCTGTGGAGCCGGGCTGGGCTGCACCAGCAGGGAGAGAGAGGAGCTGGCTCAGCTCCATAGAGTCCCTGCTGGCTGGAACCCCACATTCC